ACCTCCCCCAGTCACACACACACACACACACACACACACAAACCGCTCAGAGGACGGCCTTGACCACGAACGGCACGAACCATACGCGCAGTACACGTACACATAATTTTTCGCTCAATTTTATTTTTATCGCGCGCCTTTTTTTTGTCGCAGTATACTGGTTAGCGGTCGCTGACCGATCTCGACTTTTGGACACGACACGACACGTCGAACGAACGACGTTACTGCGGTAAAAACGGCTTTACCGCGGTCCGAGTGGTGACCGGTCGACGTCTCGACGTACGACAACTGACAAGCGGTAACGCCGGTTACTGGCGACTGCGATTATTTTCGCCGCTCGGGAGAACGATTGCTTTCGCGGTCGATCGTGATTTGTGTTTTGCTTAACCCCTTGTACGTCCGCCGCCGCCGAGTCACGGAACGGCTAAATTTAGAAAATATACCACAGCCGTAAACCTTTACGAACAATAATAAAACATCAAGTCTTCGTCGCGTTCGCTTTCGTGGTTTCGTCTGTCGCAGCGGTACAGCCGGACCGTACGCCACCCACAGCGTTCGTTGATAATACTCGTACTTAATTTAGTTCGCAATATTTTGAAACACAACCGGATAATCCGGACATAATCCGGCCAAATGACGTTGTGATCGAAAATAATTCAAAATATTATTATTGTTTACTGGTAATCAAAACCACCGCCCGGGTATTTTCAACGGAGGAGCCCCGCGCTTTACTCGGCACACCGGGAAATACAGCCGTCACTGAACGGGGGGGGGGGGGCGCTAAAACGGGTCGGCGGTTAGTCATCGCGAACGTTATTGCCGCCGGGCGAAGTCACGACCAACAATGAGAGCAATAATCCCGACCGCTCGACACGAGACCGTTTTCCAAACCGCCGTTCTTTTGTCCGGCTCGCGCACCGCAAAGGATAGCCCTAGGATTAGTATTGTAAGCGCGTGTTTAGGGGCCGACGATGTCAAAAGGGCTAGACTTTTGTTATTCCGCGTGTCGACGCGGCGGCGGCGGTACTTAACTTCCGCACGTGTACGCCGCACACTCGTACTGCAATGTGTTTATGTGTTTCTCTCGGTGTTTATACAATATTAATAATGTGTGAATAATTGATGGGCGGAAATAATGTTCATTGTTTGAGAGCAGTCAGTAGGTATTGGACGAGTTACTTTTAAAAAGTAATTATAGGTTACTTCGCCACTCGTTGTTTATAGACTAAATAATAAATATTAACGGAGTTATTTTACTCGTTCCTTATCCTAATAAAATTGTAATGAAGTGATGAAAAAAAGGAATTACGTTATGTCTGCGCTAAAAATAAAAATAAAAACATAGCAGTTCACAATAATCAGTATTTTTACGATTTCTTTTAACGGTCGTCATTCGACAAGCTACGCGAGTAGGAAAAGAAACTCTACAAAATACAAATGGCTGTGGTTAAAAACACATATCCGAAAGAAAAATAAAATTACAAAAATAATAAACACATAGACGTCGACGATATTGTCAACGTTTGACTAAATATTAAAAGATATTTGTGAATTTGTGGTGTAACGAAAATAAGAACACAACGTCCATTGGACATGTTTCTAGATAACGTTCCTGCGTGTTATGAGAAGAGTTAATTTAAAATAAAATTTACTTTTCTGGTAAATTACGTGGTTCAAACCATTGGAAATATTTTAATCTTGGCGAGTTTGCCTAATACCCAACTTTGGCTTTTGGCTAGGTATCTTATGGTATCGTGTGTTATTGAATTTTCAATACTGGAAACAAGTCGAAGGTGACCTGTTACACCGTAGGAATTGAGGTTTCACGGAAACAATAAAATTCCAATGAAATCACGTGTTAGTGTGTACTGTGTAGGTTTACAACGATAATAATATTAATAATTATGAATTAATAACATGAAATAGCGTCAACAGCGACAATGGCATAATGCAACGTCACACACAGTTACCTACTTGTAACCGAGAAAATGAGATTGACGAATAATACTTTAAATGGCAGCAGCCAGCAGGTACCAACATATTCATTGGAACACACTTATAGTTCCAAATTTTCATGTTTCCCATCAATGTGGACACGACGAGAAACGATAATAGCCCACGTCATACGACCTGTTATTGTTATAGAATCCAATATTAATATCTCATAAGCGTTTGCCGACCGTTGTCCATTGTATTATGGCGACACACTATCAAAATATTTCATATTATTTAATTTGAATTGGCAATGTAAATTCTAAAAGTAAAATTTACAATTATTATTATCCGAATTGTCGATAACAGATAACTTAATTTTAGTCATCGTATTGTACGGATTACCACTTTACCAGTGTCCACTGTCCAGTATCAAATATCTATTAATTTTTGTAAACCACGTCAAAAATGTTTGTACACTTTGCGACACATTAGAAATTATCTGGCGACACGGTAGGTTAATAAATATTTTATTAGATTATTATTTTGTAATATTTAAGTTTATTTAATATACTATATTATTATAATAACATGTTGTTATAATAGCTATCTGGTAAAAATAGATATATGGACGAATTCGAGATGAATATTTGTAGACTTACAAGATACAAAATTTAATAAATAGACAAAAATGCCTAGAGTCCCTCTATCGGTCTATCGGTTTTCATTGCTTCCAACGAATCCGTAGCTTGTATTCCCAAAAATCCCTAATCTCAGGATTAAGATAAACGTTATAAAAATGTACAGTTAATGTATGAAATAAAAATTATGATGTGTTTATTTACATTCATTCCTGCCGTTATAGTTTAATATAAATATATAATTTTTAACATTTCTTTTTAATTTAATGAAATTATTCATATTGTTTTGTTAAATTTATAGTTACGCATATTCTAGACTATGCATCATATTCAAGAGCTAACAATAGGCATCGTTTCTTTTGTGATTTAAATTTTAAGTGCCTATAATTTAGTCATGAAATATGATTAAGGTAAAATTAATAAGTAACATTACACAACTCAAGTGTCATAAAATAAAATGATAAAATAATTTAATGTGTGACACATAAATCAGTGTTCCGTATAAATAAATCTGTAATCTATAAATATTAATAAACTATTTAATATGCAGTTCTTATTTCGTATATATTGAATTAATAATTGTACTTCATCAAATAGTCAACAATATTTTAAACACACCTTACAATAATAGTAATAACTAATTAATAATGTATTTATGAAATCAATCTTAATGCAATAATAATTATGTAACAATGGATATAATTAATAGTAATATTTAAAACCTAAAATGGCCCAAGTTTGTATGATATAATCTACACATCTAAATACTCATAACAATATAATACACATCATTATGGTTATTATTTATAACAAGCCAATAAATAAAACAAATAGCAGTAAGTTTAATAAATTGTTTATTTAAAATTAATATCTGTTCACATCAACATAACAATACTTAAATTGTAGTGTGTCAACTACTACTTCTACTTTAAAATCTAATAAAAATTATCATTTTTGTGAGATAATTGGATAATACAAATCACAACCCGGTACATACGAAGGTAAAACATTCAAAAACATTGACATTTATTAAATAGGTTATTGACCGAATTATACAAAGGAGAAAATGAAGTGGAAAAAAATAATGAAAAATTAAAACAAAGAAACAGATTGAAAAAAAGAAAGGAACAGAAAGAAAAATTCAAATTATGAAAAACTCAAAATATATTCTACAAAGCAATAAAATATACTTTAAAAAATCATAATAATAATAATAATAATAATGAAATAGGTAAAGAAAATACTAAAATACTAAAACGTAAAATAATTCTATACAAAAAAAAAAAAAAAAACAGTCTCATTGGGTCGCGTACGACGTTTCTGCGCTTCATCATTATCGCAAAAGTACTTATACACAAAACAAATGAAACACGGGTAAAATTTATTAGTGGAAGCTTCTGCGTCCCAAAAAAAGAAGGCAAACAATATATATATAGTTTTTTTTTTTTACAATCTACTTGATCTACGACTTAAACATAATATACATATATAATATATAATATCAATATATACTTTGACTAGAAATAATAGGTATTTTTTTTTTATATATAGGTAGTTCGTTTGCACTATATAAGTTCAAAACATTTAAATGATTAGTGTTTATTTTCAAACTTATTAATATACTTTATTTATTTTTTAAACTAATACGGTCCAAACGGGTGGCCCTCAAATGTCGTGATATTGTTTACTAAGAATTGCATAACATATATAATGTATGGACGGCTGTATGATTTTTGATTAGCTTTGAGAAACTGTTTTTCCCCATTTGTTTTTGTAAGTAGAACAAGTAACATACTTAATTTTGGTATTAATAGGTGCTATTGCACAATGTACTAACATACGCACTGGGCAGTATCTACTGAAATAATAGGTATTCAAATATTCAATTTTTCAAATATGTCAATAATAGTTTAGAATTGTGTGATGAGGTTATGCCCAAAAATCTGCGATACAAGTCTGTCCAATAAAATTATATTATTTACATTATCACAGAAAAACAAAAAATGAAAAAATAATACCGTTGTACTGTTAAAAATTTTCTTTTTTTTTTTTTAATGGCACTAAGAAACTAAAAATAATGAACTTCTGATTAAATTATATATTTAAATAAATTAGAATATTGTAGAATATGTGCGTATAAATGTTTACCATTAATGTATGACTTTTGTTTAATATAATATATTATATAATTATTTGTGATTAGGCATTGTTTAAATATATTATAACATTTGTGGTAACTGATCAGTTTATGGGGACAATCCATTATGGAATACCATTATTGTTTAAAAAAAAAAAAACAAAAACTACATACATAACATATAAATATACAAGTTACAATTATTGAACTATTCATTAAAATATTAAATGTAGTGTTTGATATTAAAAGATAATGAGAAACATTGTTAAATTTCAATATTATGTACAAAAGTATATAAAATAAAGTTGCAAGCAATAATAGGTATCAGACTAAAAAATTAAAAATAATCAACAATTAAATTTAACAAAAATGTTTAGAATAATGATTATATTAAAAAGGGAATTGCTTAAACAATATTATCAAAATAGTGATACAATAAATTAGGAACATTCAGATAAACACGTGTAGAGCGAAATTGGAAACTTAATTATTATTAACAGTGGCAATAATTGTCGTACATAATATATAAAAAATAGGAAATAACGAAGTATCATTTAGCACAGATGTAACACGAATTAACTATTGTTATTTTTATTATTTTTCTATCTGCAGTATCATTGCGATTTTAATAATAATAACAATGATTTAGGTTAAGGAACTAATATTTTTGTATAAATTTATTATAGAGAGGGACTACACAAGCTTGTTTGATTACATATAATATAATATTATAGTCTAAAAGTATTTTATTTTCATAATGTAAGTCCGAGAAATAAATCTTAAGTAGATAGTTCAAAACATCAATATATTATTATATTTTGTATATAAGTTTAGATAAATTAGGTTTATTTTAGAAAGAAATTTCAGAAGATACATTTAGTAGCAAAAGCTAATAATGTATTGACTATAGATATCGTATTTATACAATAATTATAAAAAATGGGTCATTAGGTACCGTCGTGCTTTCAACAACCGGAAACAACCTATGTTTAAATTGTTATCGTAGATATTTGGGTTACAATTTACCTCACAACCGTAAGCGTGATAATAGTTAATATTATTTTCATTGCCTTTTCCAACATAATACTGAAGCTTACGGTTTATACTTTTTGGTGTGAACTACTATAGAGCGTATGCGTAATATTATAGTTATTTATTGTGTATTTAGTTCATACAACGACAACCTTTGAATTAATTGACTCTTTATGTGCGACAATAAGATAAAAGACAAAAATAGTGAAGGGATCAGGAACGACGGGAGCGAGAATGGGAGTTAAACGAATGGGCCACGTGTAGGATCATTGCGATGGTGTGTGAGCTGGTCTATGGTTATTGGTAATAGGGGAAGGTTTGCAAAATGAATGGGTATGCGGTTGGCCACGATAAATTAGGCGTTTGACTCTTTCAGGTTGTCAAAGTACTCCATCAGCTGTTTATAATCCATGCCAAGGTTGAGGTCGTCGAGTTTGATAGTGTCACTAGCGCCGGCGTTCTGATGCTTCTGATCCGCGGACGCAGGATCGAAAGCAAACATCGGGTTCCCGATGATTGCCGCCCGTTTCACGTCCATTGATCTTCGGTTACAGGTTTCCACGAATAGTGGATCGGAGTTTCTCTCCGGTAATTTAGGGATGTTATGATTACCAGCAACCGATGAGGACCTGCCACCACCTGTGCGAAAAAAATACATATAGAAAATTATAAGATACTGATTTAGATCAGGATAGTTACTTAGTTACTAGAAATTTACACACCTTGACTACGGTTGCGGTGATGATGATGATGGTGATGGTGTTGTCGTTTTGGAGGTGGCGGCGCTTGTTCGTCATTGTCATCGTTGCCGATCATCATGTTGTCCACGTTGTTCAACTGCGTCCTGTGCGGCGGCACCGGTGGCCTGTAGTCAGCGGGTTTCTCCAGATTTTGGTCATTCGGTGTTGGAAGTCTGGCAGGAGATTAAATCAAATAAATAAAATACAATTAGTATCCCGTACCATGAGTTGAAAATGTTTATTTTTTGAGATTTGATCTCTCAGGACGCTAATATAGTTGGGTTTTTTTTATGAAAAAAAAAAAAAGAATTTGTTGTATATTTGTGCATAATAAAGTGACTTACTTTTAAAGTCTATAGCTTATACCACCAACTGCATTGTTATAAGAATACCCAAATACGTACTATTATAATTTAGAGGAAAAACAATCGTTAGTGAAGCAGGTATGGAGAAATACGTTCATCGTATGTAAACCATACGTAAAAGTACTAAGGAATATAGTTGATTTATGGTTTTTGTAGACATAATAATATGAAACCATTAATATTTTGAAAGTACCAACAGAACATGTTATATCTAAATAAATAAAACTAAGGAAAATACACAAAATTAAAAAAAAAAAAATTGCGAAAGTTCCACTATTTCTATACAAAGATATACTTAAAATTTATTTTTAGTGCAAATGTTCTATGCCATTAAATTCTGGGATGCCAGTTGCAAGCACATTAATATTTTATTATTACAGTTTTTTTTTTATTGTTTTTACTAAAGTACTTAACAAAACTTCAACTTTAAAGTTGTACGAGTAGAAATTGAAAATGTTTTATAAATAAAATATTGTATTAATCAATAGGATTGCATCGAACGATGAATATTATTTATTTAACATCTCACTTCAATTTAAATAAACACAGTAAAATGTTAAATAAAATAAATAAAAATAAATATTTATCGTTCAGTTAAAAGTGAAAACTTATTAATATAAAGTACCTTCATAAATTACTTAAACTGAAGAAAATAACTATTGGAAATAAATTTCAATGACACTTTGAAACAAAAATTATACAATTTTTCTTAAGTTATTTGTACCAATATCAAATCTCTATTCAAATACTCATAGGTATATATTAATTCTTCAACTGTTTTAAACGACAGTTATAAAACATATGTACATCGTATCTCAAAAACAATTACAACGAATAGTATCTTCTTAAAAATATAATACAAGTGTCATTTACGAAAAACAGAATGTTAGAGAACAAAAGTAATAATTCTTTATAAGTAGTGTTTTTTTTTAAGGAAATTTTTTATTATCATTATAAACACTTAATACAACTAAAAAACCTAGTTTTAGATATTTTATTTAACATTTCTATTGATAAAATCTAAGAGAATTATTGACGATAAGCGTATAAATAATCAAATAAAAATAATAGTACTTTAAACGTTTAATTAAATTAAGTTAAATATTTCATTATATATGTCTTATTTTAAGTGTAGTGGATAATAATAATTATTGTACTACTTAAAAAAAAAATAAATTGATAATTTTCTTAATTTTTACTATACTTAAAGAATAATGATGATAGCACATTGTTGGATTTAGTAAAAAACTAAGTGTTAAGAATAAAATATTATTGAATCGATTAGTCGAGGAGAATAGATGTACGGCAACAATCAGACAAGTTTTTAGTAGCTAGTTTTTAACGCACTTAAAATAGTAAGGAACAGATACTAAATATGGACTTGTAAATAAAAACGATGAAACAGCATTGCCAAAACACTACCAAAAGCGGACTTGTCTGATATTTTAGATAATTTATAACTTTATAAGGTAAAACGAATTTATTTACAAAAGATGTTTTGATGGGTTATAAAGGGAGTGGAGAGGCAGTCTTATCGGGAACTTCAGTTGTTTGTGTTAAACGATTTACGTGTAATGGATATGCAGGTTGGGGTTAACGTATTAATAAATTGCATAGTAATGATTTAAGTAAAGAAATAATTCAGAAATTTTGCAAGTACAAACAATAATAGAATATAATATTATATTTACGATAAAGGGTCTGACACCACATATCTAACTCTTTGTTTTTTGTACTGTTAATATTTTATTTATAGTTCATAATTCATGTCTGTGAAACAAAAGGGACTTTTGCTCTAGGGTATTTTTCACATATTCATTAACTATAATACATGAAATATGATATATTGTTTTGTATTAATAAATTTCTTTTGATAAGATGTATCAAATATGAATTGTTCTAGGGCGGTTCTGATACTTAATTCGGATATGGTCATATGGACGTGGTAAAAGGAAAACTTTAGTAATCGATTTGGACCAAATTTTGACGCGCCGAGAATGTAGACGTTGTGTAAACGAGATACATCATATAATAAAAGCAAACCATGCAACATCTAATGCGTTTGACCGGGAACATATCACGCTTCGATCAAAAACATAATGGGTAGCAGCAAGTGGTCCAAATGTTTTCGTACTACTTCCCAATCACCCCCCCTCACCCCTACAAAATCGTTAACGCTGTTAAGTAGAAGCGTAAGAATCTCTAAAATATAATCTGTATGTCGTTAAAATAGTTACTTACACTTTCCACAGTTTATTAAAAACGATATTGCCGTTAGACAGTCGGTTCTTAACGCTGTACGTGGAAGTATTGATCTGAGGAGGAGGATTTCTGCTGCAAACCTGCTGTTGTTGTTGCTGGTTACCACTATTACCACTACCATTGTTGTCTACGCCGTAAATGGGATTTGACATAATTCTCATGTTGTGTTCGTTGATTTGGTTGTTGTTATTGTTGTTGTTGTGTGATTTGTTGCCCATGGACGGTACCAGCATGCCGGACGAACGTTCTAATGTAGATCTACCTAGCCACACCCAATCGTGTGCATTCATAGTCGGTTCATCTGACAAAGGTTTGGCACTACCGACACCTCCACAAATACCTCCACCGCCGTCCTTAGCCCCGTTCATGTTACCCATGAACGATTTTGCTAAAAAACGTAATAATTATATAACTTAAGTGATGTATAATTATTGATTATATAAGATAAAATAAAGTAATGTATGAACAAATTAAAATTATAACCACTAAGTTTACACTTGAGAATGACTTCCATATTTTTCAATATCATAAACATCGTTTTCAAGCAAATTTTACAGTAAATTCAAATCACAATTTGTATCAGTGCATCTGAAATATAATACCATCGATAATAGGTGATTCTTACTCATCAACGTGGTAGTGGGCATTTCCAACGAATTCTGTTTGTATTTGGATGCGTAGACGACACATGATATAACGAATGCAACGATGGCGAAGCAAAGAGCCGCCAACAGAGTATACATGCCGAGTTCAAACGGGCTCAAATGAGCGGGTACTTTGTGAGCTTGCACGGTTGTGCTTCCAATACCGTTGCTGCTGTGGTTGATAATGTTGTTTTGATTATTGTTATTGTTGTGTTGTCGAGCTTGCACTGTGGGTTCATCGTTGTTTTCATCTTTGATGCCGGCCGTTCCTAATGTTGAATTAAAAAACTCGTATTAGCTAGTTACGATTGCAGAATTGTAAAATTATTACAATTTATTCGAATCCCATAGTCATAAAATTTAATCGAAAAACGTACAATTTGGAAATTTGCATTTTAAAAGCCCTTCTTGTGTATTATAATACCTTTTAAAATTTCATGAATGTTATTTTAAGTTGTTGACGAAACATCTTTTAATTAAAATTCTAAATGTATTATGGAATTTGAATAACTATTCTACAAGCGAAATAGCAAACGTATACCGTCTAAAACAATAAACTGTATTAATCTAATCCCAGAGTGTGCGCGCAGCGTTAAATTTAATTTAGCACCACTTACATTGTGTTCTAATGTAAAAGTAATTTGAAAAGTAGTCATGGTTTGACGATAAAGTAATTTAGAGTGATTTTATTGAATTTATTATGGCAATAATAATCGAGAGCAGTGATCAAATGTGTAACAAAAAATCATTCCATTGTAAAATTAAAAATATTATTGACGATTTTGTTATTTAAAAGTATGAATATAAATTGACATAACAAAAATAATATTGTGCGTATACATCTCGTTTATCAAGTAATTTTAAACTGATGAAAACACCTAGTAAGCAAAAACAGTTTAGAAACTACAGCAGCACGTCATCATGATTGATTTACCTGTTAAATATTTCAATATAAAACGTAAAAATCGACCGCAATACAAAAAATGCCATCTTTGTGAACTAATATTAGAAATAAATTAAAATCTGGTTACGTGTCGAGAATCAAAGTACATTAAACTATTCATATTTTATGCGACCCGATTTCATATTTTCGTGGACATAATAAATCAGTATAGGTACTGACGGTACTGCGCACAGTAGCAAATCGAGTATAATTTAATACTTCCAACGTGACCCGAAATTCACAAGAGAAAAAGTTCCTTGTGAGGTTAAACAAAAAATAAATAAAAACGTGGATAAAATAAGAATGGTGATTTGGCAGAAGTCTTTGTGGCTGTAATACTGTAATAGTAATAACTGACAGAGTGATAGAAACGATGCGCATGCTGTAACTATATCATCATTGCAAAACGAAGAAGTAGATAATAAAAGTAGAAACGAAAACTATGCGGCGGACAACTAAACAAACACGCTTTAACAAATCCATTTTCTTTGAAATGTCGTCGTGAACTTGCTTTTACTGTGCACACTCGATTTAAGTTCGTAATATAAAATAATGAATTCGCGTTCGCCAGGATGACATAATATAATTGGGTATTCCACAAAAGTCTCATTACTAGGGCTCGAAAGTTGTAGAAATTGCATATTGTTCTGTATGCTCTCAATTTATAGTAGACCAAGTTAGAAATTTGAACTGTACAATGGAGAGTTAAAAAATTGAAAATGAATAATTTAAATATTTTGTCACTTTAAGCTAAAAAGAAGTGCATATTTCATTGATTTTATATGCATGATATGCATATTTCAATTAATATTGAATATAAAACTCAAAATTTTCAACGAAGGTATTGTAATCTCAAAAATACTAAAAAATATTTTTAATTATATTTTAAGCTCAATAATATGTCAAAATGCCAGTTATAAATTTTTTTCAATTACAAACAGTTTTTATGTTTATTATTATTTAATTAATTTATTAACAACGTCTGATGTATTATTTTTATTTTTTTTTTGGAATTCAGAATAATTTTTTTGCACATTTAACATAATTTTAATGCATATTTTGTAATTTATTTGTGCATATTTTGCCTTTTTTAGCTCTTACAATTTCCGAGCCCTACTCATTACATATTATTATGCTATCATTATTAATGGTGTTCACACATTATAATAATATAGTACTATACGTATATTATTACATGAATAAATTGACTTACCCGCCGAGTCTTTGTGATCTTTCTTGTCACGGGGCGGTCCTACGTTCAGTACGCCACTGCCGCCACCGCCACCGCCGTCGTTCTGCACGAACTGTTCGACCGAGTACGGAGACGACGAAAAGTCCACCTGGACTTCAGCCGCCGTTTCACTGAGTGTTGTCGGTAGGATGGTTTTCCGACCTCCGTTCACCGGCTCATGTTTGCCACAAGCGTCGGGAGGGCCGAACGACACGCGCAACAGCTGCCCCTTACCAGGACCAACGGCTATAACCCGAGGATGCGGCGAGGCGGCCATGGGAGCAAACGCCACCACGTCGGGGTTGGTGGACTCAACGCGGAGCGCGTAGTCGGACATTGCCACCGACCGTAGTGGCGTACGCGTGTCGTCCGTGAACCACAAGTCGATGTCCAGTAGGCCCTCCTGGTACTTGGCTGTCAGCTTCCTGGTCACGGACGTCTCGGCTATGTAGTTATTGTCCACAGCCGCGTCCGGCCGGATGTTCAGCTGCAGCCCGGACACAACGTTCACCGCCAACCGGGCTACGCTCACCTTGTCACTGACCACCCGGATCTCCTTCGACACTAGTACGTGTCCAGATAACGCTGAGATCACCTGCACCTCGGTCCGGCCGGCGTTATGTCCACGCACGATTTGTCCAGTGATGGACGCGACCCGAGGATCTGACGACCGCAGATAATGCAGCAGCAGATCGGTCACCTTTAACCACGTCCGACGGTTCACGAAATAGCTCACCCGTCCTGAGTCGTGATCCGTCGCTTTAAACCTGGCGTATATCTGTAAACGACAAGCGAACACGAATGTTGGGTTAAGTCGGGGGATTAGAGGACATGCAATTTGATTTTTTAAGATTTATGTATATAAATTGTAATGTATCTATAGAGAATCACACTCGTCACTCATCCTATGGGCCATTTATAAATGAAAAAAAAAACGTACATTTATTATTATGCTTATTATTTTTGTATAAGTTAATCAAAAATTAAATTGGAATGTCTAGAATTATTATTTATGATTAATTTGAAAGTATCTATAGAAAAAGTTAAAGAAATGTTAACTTGTTTTACTTGTATTCATCTACTGCAGCTCAATTAATATAAAATTAATTTATCAATCGTAATATAATTACAGTAATCATATAATATCGATTATTTTGTTAATTCAAAAGAGGTGTGACTTTAGCTCTATTATGAATTATATTGTATATTTATATTTTTGTAATTGAACAATGCTCAAAATCGTTACAGTATATTTATGGGTCACGGATTTATTCAGTTTTTTTTATTACCATATTATTATTAAGTACTCGTATATAAGAGGTTAAAAAAAAATCTACATTAATTTAATTATTAATATGCAAATATTTTATTTTTATTCCAATTTAAAAACTTATTACTACCAATTTAAGCTTTTGGTTAAAGGAGACAAGAAAACTCATTATATTAAATATTATATGGATAAACTTGTATCGTTTGTTTTCAAAATAAATATATCTAATCATTTTGAATCAAAAATCAAAATCAAAGTTTTTCCTACAATAATAATAAAAATCTAAATTTATTGTCAATGTATTTCATACATACTTATTAAAATTGTTATATTTTTAAATCAAAAATGTTATTTGATTGTAAGTGTTATAATACACGAGAAAATCTCTGTTTGGTACATGTGAAGGTCGGTCGAATACAATAACACTATTAAATACGGTTATCATTGATTTAAAATATAAATCTGACCATTAACTTGAAGCACGTGATTTTCGAAAATTACATTATATCAAGTCATACGTATTACCATTGAGTTTAGGCAGCTATATACATATATATACATGACATTGTATATAAATTAATGTACGTAAGACGTAAACTGATATAGGAGCGAATATATAATATAGGTATGTGGATCGAGAGCTTAGAAAATGTACCTATTTGAACGGCGAAGGATGTAAGAGAGAATACTGCGCAGTGATTCACTCTAAATCGAGTGCCTATTGTAACTGTTCATTAGTTTTTATTATGATTATTTCCTTTTTTTCATCGGTAGTTCGGTATATGTATGGTTTGAAATGTTTAAGTAGAATGTTTTCAGAGATAATATCATAGAAAAATACGCCTCTTTCCGAGATTATATAACTGCATATTATGCTAGATTTCCTTTGCCGACTATATTTACGATGGTCATTGTCCAGTTAATCTTGAGTTAGGATTTAGTTAATTAAAATCCTTTTTTTTTTTATACAATCCACATTTTAATACTGTATTAAAGATTTTTTGATAAATTGTTATTAAATTGTTAATTAAAAATGTATATTATATTATTAAAATATAAGGTATTCATATTTTGTAAGGTAATATCTTATCAAAATTTATATGAAAACATGACTATTTTGATAACCATATCTGGTTATATTTATATCTTTATTATAGACAACAATTAATATATTTTCGTATATTTCTCACCATGGAGATTATAGTGTCTTAGAAGGTGTAATAAATTCTAGTAATTCAATAATAAAGGTCAATTAGTCGTTGTATAAGTTGGCTAATGAACGGAAAAAAATAAAAAAAAACTTTCACTTTTATGGAACATTGTGTTCATAAAATAAAAGCACTAAAAAGTCGTTTTACAAAAGTCTATTATTCTTTCCTACTGTTCTTGATTATTTAGTATTGTTGTTTAAGTTTTTTTCCCCAAACTTTTTACGAGTTTGGAGTTTTCATTAACCAAGGATAATACAAGCTAATAAAATTATATTATGGCTTAATGAACAATTATTGTAATTTTTATTTTGTAAAGAATCGAATAATTTATATTTTAAGTAATCGTTTATTTAATAAAAAACTTATACCAGTAAGTGATGAATAATTTAATTTTATACATTTTTTTTCAACTCAAACATTATTGTACATGATATAAAAAATCGAAATATTAACCAATAGGCTTTTATATCATACTAAAATAGAAAAATAATTAAGGGGCGGTGATTTGATTGCAATATGTATTTTTTCTGTGCTTAAAAAAATTGTTTTCTAAGCACAAAATTCGTTTCATATATCTAAATAATATGACGATGAAACTATAGTTTTGGATTTTTTGACAATTTTTAAATATTTTGCACTATTTTTTATACAAAAAAAGATGAAAAAACATTAAAAATGTGTCCAGTAGGTGTCAAATGATAATATTAACTAATTTATTTTACTATTATAGTATATTATAATATTATTTGTAATTCCCAGTGTTTCGGACGATCAGTGATTAACGTTATAAATGTATAATATTATGGAATACGTTTACTCGAATAATAATTTTATATCTTACCTCGACCGACGTCTGTTGAAATCTCAACTGGCAGCTGGTCTTCCTGTCATATGCATCGGCCACCATATCCTCAGTGATCATTTCATTTAATCGAAAATCGCTATCCGACATTGGCGATTTTATGTGACCGCCACCTTTACCTTCGGCTGACCTTTTCAATTTATTGACGTAACTGTAAAACATCGCGAACGTCACATAATTACATCAAATTTGATGTACTTCCTCAAACATGAATTATTGTCATACAGTTAGGTATAACTATATTGTCACATCTGACAATGAGAAGTAGAAATAAAAATCGATACTCACTCGTCCATGTCATCGTCGGCTTCCAGGCTTACTGGAACTCGCCAGCCTTTAATCTGGTTCAGTTTCTGGTCAGCAATAGTTAGGTCCATTTCATTAATTTCTGGAACCCACACAATGAAATGCGCCGTACCTGTATATGATTCGTATTTGACGATCACCGTAGCATTGGACGAGCCTCGGATTTCTGATCCATCCACGTACACCGAACTGCATGACGATGTTACCTGAACGAGAAGAGTCAAATTAGTAAATATCGTGGTCAAAAGGGATCGGCTGGTTAGCCAACAACTATGCAAATAATAATATATTATACACTATACAGTACTAATAATATCATATCTACCTTGAGCACACTGTCATCCTCTATCTGACACACAGACTGTCTGGTGACGTCGGATATTTTGCCCGCGTAGCTGACCACGAATACCTTCATCGCGTGCGATATCTGCTTTCCAGTCAATACAGCTGTGTTGATTATTTCCCAGTTCTGTATAAATAAAACATGTACGCGTATAATACATAAATTCTATTTACTCTAAAAACATAAAACGTATAAGTACTGTATAGTACTGATATAATTATATCGTATCAATTATAATAAACGTTTCGGGGTAGTAAAATAGGCACCACGGTAGAAACCCTAGGTCATTGCAATATTAATTTTCTATAACGACACCGCGCGGTTGCGTTTCATGAATTATTTCACTCGAATACGTAATTACCGGCGCAAATCAGTTACTCCACGAATTATTCGGGGTATCTAAATAAATGTACAGCACACACCTATATATATATACATTATACAACACGCATAGACACACCTAATATATCAGATGCACGTTGCACGGATGCAACACGGCACCTAAACCCCGCCCCCACAACACGACGGTTCGACGATGACAAATTTTGCTCTTTTATTACGTCCCCGGGAGCAAATCGATCTGTCATTGCCATGCACTACGAGCGCGCGCGCGCCTGTGTATAATATGTGTGTGAACGTTGTATAATATTATGCGATATTGAAAAATATGACACACATATTTCATATAGGTAGATATAGTAGGTATATTATACGCAAAACCAACCACCTAACCCTTTGTACAATGATTCATGATGTAAACGGGCGGTGTATCTGTACATATTCACTGGGGATTTGAAGAGTATAGTCGTTACGTATATACCACGCGCCTGCAAAACGGTCAGGACTTCAGACCGTGATAAAACACGAAATCCCTATTAATTGACTCGCCGAATGTGTTGTATACACTCGGAGAGAAAATCGAAACATACCACACTCGCGTGTGTATAAAAATAACACTAAATGTGATAGGCGCATCCTCCCTAACGGTATACGCGAAAATTCAATTTCGTTACCATTATTACCGCGCGGCTTTTGTTGGAATTTCGTTGCCGGATAATAAACTCTTGCAAAAACGTCATAACCGTTGAATTTACGAGGTTTTTTGAAATAATTAAACCACTCGAACACGTCAGGTTTTCTATTAGTTTTTATAACTGCGCTCAGCGGCACGGGTTGTCCTTTGTGTTTCTATTTGCACGTGTAGTCGTGGGAAACTCACTGACAACAGTCTATACATTACTGCAGCTGCTGTCAATTACAAAAAAAAAAAAAAACGTTGCGAAGACGTTATGAGACATGTATAATTCTATTTTAAGCTTACAAAAACATATTATATGATTACGCGTTCTCATTTTTCAAAGTAAAAGAATGAATTAAGAGTACTGTATAGATGGTAAATTACATTTAGTATCTAATACTGAAATATTACTACTAAATTTATTTACTACTTCAAAGAAATCATTTTTTGAATTTCTCTTTTATGTGTATATAAAGAAAAATTTTAAAGTAAGTAGTAATCGTCTTTTAACTGAAGTAATGTTTCATGGTCTTAACATTTTAAACAAAACTAAAGATTACATAAATTAACTGAATAATTGCATAATTTATAATTATATTTATATATATAACACAAGAACGTGCTTACAACATATTTACCTCTAAGTGTGATTTTAATTTAAAATGTATGGTAATATTTTATGCTAATTAATACTGTAGAAACTAGACATACTATAACAAAAACAATTTAAAACCACGTTTATTAATTTGATCGTTATAATAAATATTTAAAATTGTGATTTATGTATGCAAATTTTTAGATCATATTATTTTATCAAAATCAACAAAGTATTTTAAGTACTTAATAATGACAACAGAATTATTATACAATGAATTAGTACAGAAAAAATTTAAAGTTCAATAAAGCAAAAATAAGACTTCAAGAAATAAATAGGTATACATACATATGTTATAAGATTAAAATAAGTGAAAATTATAATTGAAAAGGATTTCAAAATATTTCATCTAGTATATTTAAAAATATCCAAAAATTCTATTTAAACATTGTTGTTAGGTTTTTAAACGGTTTTAATATAATGCTAGGTGTGAAGTTGGTATTAAAATTTTTTAACGGTGGAATAAATTAATAGGAGAACTACATACAAATTCAATGGGTTCTCTTACATATAGTTGGATGATTTTCATTATGTTATAAAACAAAATAGTTTTTATGTTTATATATAATAATTTTTTATGAAAACTTAATTTAAATATAAGTGGCACTGTGACTGGTATTTATTTAGAAAATATTTGCTTTTCTCACGATCAAATTATATATCGCTTATTTTAGAGTGAATTTGCACATACATTCAATATGATTCGACAACATGACAAAAAACATTGTTTACCACAAAGCTTTTAAAAATTAAATCTTTTGAAATTATTTATACAATCGTATTTCATTATTTATACAACATTACACATAGATTATAATTTATAATATATCTGTCGGCTGTCACGTTACCGCATGCCACCGCGCCGGCTGTACGAATATAATTTAACACGGCCTCTGTATTTGTTTTGTCCCGTATGTTGTCGCTGCAGTATCGGCATGTACTAATATAATATTATAATACCTATGTTGATTTCTTTTACTCAAATAGTAAAATAAATTACTATTTTTTAGCATTGTGAGTCATAAAGGATAGTTATATATATTATTTTATTTGACTAATATCATATAGTGTTATTGATTTTCGATAATAATCGCCAAATATTATTATCATTACAATATTGTTATTCGTATTTTTATCATGAATTTTTTTTTATACATAATTATGACTGGTTAGTCTGCGCTCAACAAAATTATGAGTTATTTATATCATTATTATTATTTTTTGAGCCAGAAGGGTTAATTTTTATTATTTCTATTCTGTTGGAACAGAAGGGCCGTAAATTTATCATATTGTGCATTAAAAGCCAGAAGGGCTATATATATATATTGAATAATTTATGAGTTCTTTTTAAATGTTTTTTTTCTTTATTGTGTAATATACTATTATTTAAAACTATTTTATTATAAAAAAACTCAAAATTACCGAAAAACTTGTCACCATTTTGTTTTAGTTTTTAAACACATACACGTGTACATATAAATTCGTACACCAATAATACACATTTTGCACAATAAGCATCACGTTTATAGTTTATCAGTATTTGTTTGGCAATCTCGACCACTGCTGTTCGAATTACTAAATCACTACTAAACAAGCTATTTATTCTTAGTTTTTACATTTTTAAGTGTAAGTGGTGCAATAAGAATTTAGTTCTCGGGTTCCCGGCCTATACAATATTTCATAAAACACATACAAATATTAAACATGGATATTTTGTCTGTCTGTTGTCTGGGAAAGGCTAAAAAAACGGATGAACCGGTTTGTTGGAATTTTCACAGGCGTGTATTTGTATAATAAAACGGAAAAATGGAAAACAATAGATACAATATTTTTAACCCAGGAGGTCCGCATATTTGAGGTTTATATAGGTTCAAAAATACTAGATCGATTTTGATGAAAGTGTCAGGGATTGTACTTGAAAATATTAGGAAAGTTTATAGCACAGCTTGAACCATATTCGAAAATATACCAAGTGTTATATTTAAAAAAAACATAGACGGATTGCCTATCTCTATCGAAATAGTTCACAAAGCGAATTGCGAAAATTTTCCAGTGAACTGCAGTCTGCAGAGGTAAGTGCATTGAAACTGAATTACAACAGTTTAACACTGTATTTTATAATCATTTATTTTTTGTCGGGCGAAGTCGGAATATACGATTAATTATTTACGTAAAAATCTTAAGTGTGTTAAACGACAATAAATTAAAATCAAACGAACTTAAGACTATTAACTCATTCGGCTTTGCCGAAATGTATGAACAAATAATTAATTTCTGACGCATTTCGCTTATATACCTATAAACAATGATTAGCCAACCACGTGATCACTTTGAAATGCACGTCATGTATTATATTTAAGCGTGACATTATGCTTATTATTATCTATGTATAACTCTGTCCAGCGAGAAGAGTTAGCGCGTTGTTCTTGGTCGCTGACGCCTTGTTATAGTGGGACCGGTGGTCAGGATGACAGGAAAATCCACGTCATGTCGCGATAAAACTGTCGTGAACACAAAAATATCGTTATGTCAAAAATATAAAAAACATAATATTAATAAATTATAATTTGATTTATAATATTATATATTCTATATTCAGTATAATTTTGTTTTATTTTTATTTTACTTTTACTAAGTATACAGTTATACTTATTAAATAAAAATGAAGTAGGAAATGAAAAATAATAATAATTAAAAATATTGTAATAAACAAAATAATAAATTATATTTTTCTATTAATTGTTATTGAAAGCTACCTATACGAAATTCCACGCAAGTAGTCGTTAATTGATCAATTTTCATAATCATCACATATATGGCTTTAAGTCAAATTGCAGAATTTTTGTATTTTTCTTTGTCCGATGTTTGAAGTCAGCAATATACTGTTAAACTTTAGACGGTTTAAGCTTTCTCCCTTTTTCAGTGAATCGATAAAAATCCAGATAGAAGGATGACGAGAACTTAACATCCAACTTAATGTTAATAAGTAATAATAATTGTACACCAAACTTAATTTTTGTAAGCATGTGCGGTGTTATATTATTACCAGCTAAATGGTACTTTAATCTAATCTAATCCTATTAACGACCGAACGAAAACCGGAACTGCGAGCCACATCGGTGACTACGGCGATAATATATTGCTACCTGCGACATTTTTATCGCGACACCGCGACAGGATGTCTCGCGGGAACGCGCAGAAGAATCGCGATATTTTGTCGGACAGTGGCGTTTGCTCTCGCCGGACAGCTTACAGACGAGTAACGCGCGACACCGTGGACAGCGAACGCAATAACGTACCTTCACACTCAATAAACCACAATCCACCTGACAGACTCACCTTGGATATGGGTAGCACGGCTTCGGTGTCGTCCTTGTGTATTTCGAACCTGGCGGAAATCTTGCGCTTGATGCCGTCCAACACGCCGTTGACGCCGTCCAAGTAGAGCATCTTAGTGGCGGCCCTGGACAGCCGGGACGTCCTCCGGCGTCCGGCCATCACGGCCGCCTGCCGCCGGTGATGTTTGTACGCGGCGCGGTGACGGTCGACCTTCGGCTGGCTCCCCTGAACCGCGGCGGCCGACGTCCAATTGGTCACGTTGCCGGCCGCCTCCATGACGTACTGCACGGTCCAAACTACCCGGCCCTCCTCCCACACGTCCTCGGCCTCCGAGTCCACTTGCAGCAGCCACTGCAACACCTCCTCGTACCGGGAGTTCGGCCACGCGGCACCGGCAGTCGCCGGCAGCCCCTTGTGCACGGCCGTCACCGTGATCTGAGTGCCTCTGGGGTTCGACGTGTAGTTGATGGTCCACCGTTCCGGGTCGCTGTTCTCGGCGCTCAACACCCGCAGCCCGTTCTTCACTTTGGCCCTGAGTATAAACCCTTTGATGTTTTGCTCCTTGGGCCCGGCGTCGAAGAACACGGGCACGTACGTAAACGACTTGGGATATAACGGCACGGACGGAACGAGGGTCAACAGGTACGCGTCCGTCTTGAGCTCCTTGTATGGGCGCTGAGCGTGCTCCAGTGACGCCTGTCCGATGTACGTGAACGGCTGGAGCTGCACGTCCGACTGGCTGCACCGGTGGTCGGACTCGAGCAATGCGTACGATATCTGCACGTACCGCTGTGGCGTCTTCACCGGCTTGGCGTCGGGCGGGTTCAGTGGCGGCCACCACTTGGCCGGCAACACCAGCCGGGCGGTGCACACGCCGTCCTTGGGATCGGGTTTGCACGCGGCGGTGACCGGCCGCTCAGCTCCCTCGAACGTGGCTTTGGCCACCGCGCACAGTTTTCCGTACGAAGATGAGCCGGAAGCCGACCGCGCGGAACCGCCGCCGGTCGCGTCCCCGGCGGACATCGTCATGGAAGGAGGCGGACCGGAACCGGCTGACTGCGATCTGACCACGCTGTAACCGACGTGGAACAGCGTCCGGACTACCGGGTTTTCGCGGTACACGCGCCTCTGCACCAAGTGCGCGGACACGTCCATCGATGATATATCCACGGTCGACGAGTAGCCGGCCGATAAACCAGAACCGTTAACGCTGCTGCCGGACATTCCGGCCGAGTTTGGATCCGGTATCAGGTAACGCGAGGGTACCGTTTGCTTGGTTGAGAACGGCCCATAACTGGCCCTGATCGACGTCTGCGGTACGTCCTGCAATACGGTGAACCTGTCCACGCTGAGCACTGCCCCACCACCGGCGTCGTCTTCACTGTCGTTATTCTCACCACTGCTCAAAAGCTGTTGTTGTTGTCGGTTATTGCTGATACTGCCACCGATCGGGTGTCGTACAAAGAATCCTCCATCTGGGTTGTCAAAATGCACTTCAACCGGAGTCACAAAACCTGCCAACAAAAATTTATCAATTTTAAACAAACTGCGACATTGCAAAATGTTTTGTACAGATATGGAAGGTTAAGTGGATCGGGGAGACGGATAAAGCGTAAAATACTTGAGTGAAGTAAGGTACTTTGTTTGGTTAAAATACAATAGAACTTCAACCTCTCTTTCCTTTCCCCGAGGATATTTTATACGCATAACGTCTACCGTGTTGTTAATAACTTGTGTCGACGGATTTTTGGACTCAATCCATTACACGGCTATTTTTAATCCACCAATTTTATGTATATAAAATAAAATAATAGTTAGCTTAACGTTCAATAAAAGCGTTTAACAATTTTATGTCCCGAAGGCGCCAAATAACTCGACACTGCTCAAGCTCGGATTGTTGTAAAATACATTACCCAATATACATAAAATTACACACACACACACACACACACACACACACACACACGTTTATTAAATTCTATGAGCGTTTTGTTTTGATATAATCTCGTTATAACGACATGGTCATCAGACGCCTTTGGGTTTGCGAAGTTTATATCCGTCGTATTGATCCAATAATGATAACATAAAACCGAAGGAATCAATATTTTGCGAAATACATTTATATGCGCAATTAATATTTGAACTCGGCGCGCGCAATAGTATCAATATCTAAATTGTTTCACGTATTGCATTTTTAATGGAATTTATAAGTGGTATTATATTATAACAGCAACAATTTTGATTGTTGGTATAGCGTAAGAAATTAATTTAAAAAAACAAGTTTTTAAATGTTTTTGGTTGTCTGGTAAATTAATTATAGATCAACAATTAGTCTTACTGAGTGAAGAGTACTCGACAGTGAAGATTCTTTCTTAGCTCAAACTTATACTTGTTGAATATTTTATAAGGGAAAAAATTATGTACTTTTAAACGCTAATGAAAACATAAAGTTCATATCTTTTCAAAATAAAAAATAATTGACTGTTCTATGATCATTTTAATATGTAAACAATCAACATATTGAAACACATCGATATAGCTAGTTTAGTGCTTTCTAAAAAAAAATGTAAACTACGTTTGACAACAAAACTATAATAAACCAAACTATCGGACAGTTTTTCGAAAACTTCTACGAAATAAACTGAACATATTAAAGTGAATAGCGTGTGTCAAATCGCATTCGAAAAACCCACGATGACGACGGAAGTCTGAACTTGTGGCTTCATTCAATATTTTTTATTTTCACGATTCGTGTAATATGACGTCTGTCATCTATTGTCACAAAACAAATAAATGAAATAAACGTTTTCATACGATACGAATACCTAATAAATTTCCACTGATGTAGTAACGTCGACGGCAAAATAGTGTGTTTCTTAAATTTGAAAACTATGCACGTTCGTCATACACCACATCACCCCCACTAACGTTGAACGCGCGCGTTGCACAGAATTCAATAAAGTTTTGGGGTCGAAAAGTTCTGACACAAATCGCCCTCTCTACTTTACAATATACGCTACGCAACCTACACACACATACACATATATTTATGCGTTGAGTCGACTATGTATACATATATGTAGGGTTTATTAACTATATATTACATATATATATATTCTATACAAGATAAATTCTAAACGGAAAGCACGTCCGGATGTATATTGTGTACATAATACATAATATATTGAAAATGAAACAAACAAAAAAGTATCTATATTTAACATATTAAGTATAGGTAGTATACACCTACGAGTATATGTCCCTTCTATACATATATGTGAATGGATATATTAATAAAACAGCAAAAATGTGCTGCAAGTCAAGTTTCAATACATATATGTTGTTGTTGCAATTTAACTTGTACGGGAACTGCGAATGATAGGTATAGATATTATTTATAATAATTTACGGTGGAATAGATAACGCGTAAGAGACTCAGGATTTCAAAAACAGTAATGTTTTTGTAGATATTTTTCTACATAATTTTATGTCGTTACAAAACAACATTTTATGAAATTATTTATATTTTTACTACTTTTTTGTCGATATTATTTTTTAAGTTTTTTGAATTACTTACAAGTTATAACATAAATCATATTACATTTTTAATTTCATATAATTCCGAAGCAGATTATTATTCAAAGTAATTCGATCTGTAAAAATTAAATTTCGGAAAAGTAAATAGAAATATTTTTAAAAGCGTAAACAGTATTCAAAATAATGAGTGACTTACGTTAAATAGATCACCCGATACATACATATACAATACACACAGACACGCAGTATCATTCAAGGGGATAGGGGATGACATCCCAGCAATGACATTATAATAAACATGTCATATTTTTTTTGTCTAAAACTATATTGATTTGGGTGTTTTTGAGACTAGCCTTTGATATAAAAAAAAAACCATCAACATCAACCTCTATGCGAAATAAAATCGTTCATACGTTTTCCCTGAGTTACACAGCTGAACGCAACTGTTAGTCGAAAAACTAATTCGCAGAGCAAATATGAAGTAGGTTCAAAGGTAGACATCAAACCCGGAAATCTCGTGTTTTTTCAAAACGTTTGAGATATAAAAAATATACAATAATATATTTATTTATTATTACAATTTTTGGTTAAATATTAAGCGTAAGACACAATTGTTATTTCAAGAAATACTAACATTTTTGAAAATATTTCTTTTGCATAATTTTAAGTTACTTTACAAAACAAAATTTAAAAAATAATAATATTTTTTATCATTATAATTTTTTTTTAATTTCTTACTTCCTTGAATGACAATATATTTTTTATTTCATCTTCCAAAGCAGAATATATTTTGGAATAACTACTTTGGTGTACATAAATATCAAATTTTGGACAAGCAGTTTATTAGTTACTTATAGTAGCTATAGTGTCAGAAACATAAATTTAATATTTTAAGCTTAAGCAAGTAGAGTAGTGAATCAATATTTTCCGGATTACCTATGTACCACTTCACTCTATTCATCTAAACTTTAAAATTTAAATACTTATACCAGCTATATATCATGAACTATTCCTTCAAAATTCGATATTAAGATATACCAAAGGACTCGAAAAAATATTCTGTTTTGATACATGAAATTAAAAAAGTAAAAAGGATAAAAACTAAAGATAAAAAATAGTAAATATATAATATATATATATAAAAATACAATTTTCATGACTTAATATGGAAAAAATGTTTGTAGTTTTTGTAATAATAAGTGTCTTACGTTAAGTGGATCACCCGATATATCTTACACTCATGTATATATATAATAAAGTTATTGTCCGAATTATCTGTCACTATTACTGACGTAAAATACATATGGAAAAATGTGATGAATTTATTATATTGGCCGGTTATTAATTACATCTCACCAGCTATGTACTATATAATATTTCGCTGTTACGCAATAAACCCGGCTACATGGTTATGATATAGAGCAGGTAGCCATCCCTGGCTAGACACGGGCCGGTTAAATAATTATTATTTAAGTTTGTTTTTAGTATGCATTTGTGAAACTGTCAGACCGTTAATTTATTTTAGAACGCCACGTAGATTAAATCCAACGTAATGTAATGATATCGTAGGTACATTCGGTTAATAATGATATCGTACAAACTACAAACAGATTTTAAATTGAAATTATGGAAAACTTATGGTACGCCGTTTAATTTATTTCTATGGATTTATATACGCATCGCACATACACGTATGAGCGAGTGTATGTTCGGACACGACCTAATCGCGGCGGCCAATTAAAATTGCAATCGTCGTGCGTATACCTATATAATATTATATGAATATAACATATTCCATTTGAGTTTGCCAGTGCCACTGCAAAAATTATTTATAATAATAGAATCAGACAAAACGTACCTATATTAAGCGAGTACGAATCTATTTTAATTTATAATACAAAATGTGGTAAAGGATTTAGGAGTACCTAAAGTATATATGTTACATATATATTATAATATTATTTAGACAACTAATACATGCGGTAATTAATATCGAATAAATTCACCACGTGTGTTGCGGATAACAATTTTAAAATCAAACATAGTAATATTATAATATTAATGTGCAGATGTGCAGTAATATTTAATTTTTACACAAGACGCTTGTTATTAAATCATTTTTTTGACGATTACATTTACTTAGAATAGAATTATTATTTATTATTATTATTATTTATAATTCATTGTTTTGGCTGGGGGAACGGCGTATAGGTAAATAGTTTTTAGTTTAGTTTTCGCTTCATACATAATACATCACTTCCTACGACCATCGGTAGTTAGACAATTCGGTTTATTAAGTTTATTTCATACCGATAACAGTGTAACATAGTATTGTATAAGTAGAATGTAAAAATATACAGGAAATAGGTATATAATATAATATTATATGAATACGACATATTTACATTTATTGCACTATATCGTACAGATCAATATACCGTCTTAAAATAGATACACTATTTTATAATATTATGTATTTGTAAATGAACACACGAAATAAACTTTACTCTGCGGGATTAATTGTGTTATTTATATATTTTTTTATGTTTTGTTATTTAAATTATTTAATCGTACAACATAATTATTAATTATTATACAATTCTTAAACAAGTTATATTCATAATAGTTTAATGTTATATAATTAATATAACATCAACATTAATAAGTTAAAAATCAGGTTTTTGTGAAAACATGATTTATGCTATATGAAAACTGGTTTCAAAAAAAAAAAAAAATTATGGGTATTACATTCTATTATTAAGCTATAGTGCCTGAGATTTTGTTTTATGTTTTTTGCACACTAATGTTTCAACCACGCACCGCGTTCTATCGTGTATAAATTATTATTAACATTTAAACACACATAGTGCTTTATAGTCATTTGTATCTTCGTTGAGATCACTGCTTCATTGTATGTAACATATTTATATATTTAATATACATTCACGTGTGTATAATAAATGCATTAAGCACTCGA